TGCCTTGGCCTCCCAAAGCACTTGGATTATGAGAGTGAGCCACTATCCCCAGCCTCATTTCGTTGTTGAATCATTCTTTCATCCATTTCCTGTGCAATGCTACATGCTGACTTTGTGCTGGGTGCTGCAGATGCAGGTGAGAAACAGGCAGTCCTACTTCCTGACTCTAAAGATTGTTCTCTGTCCCTACCTGGAGCCCTGGGCCTGCTTGGGGGATTGGGAGGTGCTCTGAAGCAGGTTTGCCTCCAAGTGTAACACAGTCCTACTGGACCTTAGGAAAGTTCATGAAGGTAGTGATAGTTCAGGTACCTGTCAAGGTGTTCTACCTGGGGAGGTGTTAGGGGTGTAGGAACCTGGTATTGTTCTGGGCATTGCACTAAATAGGTGACTGGTCCTTGTAATGCTGGCCCTGTGATATTCCCTTACTACACAGTCCTGTGAGCCTGGGGTCTCTCGGTTTCTGACAGCCTGCTTCAAATGAGGATAAAATCTGACTTCCTCATTAGCATCAGTGACAGATGGTCTGCATATCTTGACTACTCTAAGTAACACCAAATAAGAATGATACACACGTTTGTGAAGGATTTCATACTTAAAATTGTCAAATCATGTCAGTTTTCTACCTCTGCAGTATCTCTCCTGTCCATCAATTTCCCCCTTCCCATCTCTACCGTCCTAGTTCAATCCCTCATTATCTCTTGCCTAAGCTTATTGCATCTGCTTTCTTACTAGTTTCTCTGCCCCCATCCTCTCTGTCTTTGAAATCATCCCACATAATGCTGCTGGATTAATCTTCTTAAAGTAGAGCTCAGATCGCATCATTCCTTGACTCAGAAACGTTCTGAGAGTTCTTTCCATTGTTTATTAAATTAAGAGAATTTAATTTAATAAATTAAATTCATTTTTTTGAATAAAAAAAATGGCCTAGCACTTTTGGCCTAGCACAAGGTAGGCACCCCCTCCACCACGTGATTACGTCTTCCCTCCCTGTATTTTCTCACATAGCTCATGCTCATACACCCGACATTCCAGCCAGCTTGGGTACTGCTGGTTTGCAAACTTGCCCTGCATGTTATTGCTTCTCTGCTTTTGCTTTTCCTGGCTTTCTGGTTGAAAAGTTCCTTCTCATGATCTTTGCCGGCTGAAACCCTACCTATCCTTCTAGACCCAGCTAAAATGCGTCATCAATCATCAGCCTTTCCTGCTCCCACAATGGTGGTATCATTGTTCCCACCTGAGCCACCATAGTAAGTATTTTGTCCCTCTCTTATGACAATTGTCATAATTAGAGGGGAGCACTCTCTTTGGATAGCAAGCTCATGAGGCCAGTGACTTACATCAGGAACCCAGATAATGTCTGTTGACTCTGGTGAAGGAGCAACTCATCCATCTGCGCATTCCTGGCATGTAGTACATATCATATGGATCTTCTTGTTTTGTGGAAAAATAGAACTGATAGAACTGAGACCCTTTAGATAAGCTACCATTGTGATGGTAAAGCAACAGTAGTTCATACATTGCATACATTGTTCATGATTGCAGTCTGGGATGTACAAACAGAAATCCAACCCAAACTAGTTTAATCAAGAAAGGGACTCACTGGAAGGACCTGAGTTTCCAGAATTGAAGAGAAAGGGAACCTTAGGGACTAGAACCAACAGTGCTGTGTGTTGCACAGACCTTATTTGCATCTCTTACTGATTTCTCTCTGGGAGTTAGCATTAAGATAATGGTGGAGGTAATGAGTAGTGAGAAGGATGAATGAGTACGGAGTGGGCTTGCCTGGGTCATATATGACCAAATAAGGGGATTAAGTGAATGAACAAGTTTGGTCTTAGTGCTTTTGGCCCAAACTGTGAGATTTATGAGAAGACATCCAGCCATATTGACCCTAATTGTTTTCTGTAGCTCCTGCAGACCCGCAGGGGCAGCCTCACTTTTCCTTTTGCAGATGGACAGAAGAGTCAGAATGCTGTGGTCTGAATGTTTGTGCTGCCTCCAAATTCATATGTTAAAATCCTCACCTCTAGGGTGATGGTATTAGGAGATGGGGCCTTTAGGGGTTATTAGGTTAATTAATCATAAATTGCATAAGTGCCTTTATAAAAGAGACCCCAGAGAGCTGGCTTAGTCCTTCTTCCATGAACCAGGAAATGGGCCCTTATCAGACATCAAATCTGCTGGTGTCTTGATCTTGGACTTCTTGGAACTATGAGCACGAAATTTCTGTTATTTATAAGCCACCTAGTCTAAGGTATTACATTTTGTTTTAGCAGCTCAAAGGGACTAAGACAAGAGAGTCAGAAAGAACAAGTATCAGAAAGCTGGAGCTGGAGATGGCTGGTTATGATGGTGGAAGCAGGGAGCAGGGTGGGTGAATGGCCAAGCCACTCCAAGAAGGATTATAGTTCTCAACTACTAATTCTGGTTTAGGCATGGCACATTGGAAGTTGAGCCTTTTAATTAACAGAAGACGATAAAAATGTCCTGGTTGCAGGAGCAATTAGATCACTGGAAAGGACTTGGAAGAATAACTGAAGAAGCGGGTAATGAGAGACACATGAATCTGTGAGTCTATGACTGATGATAAGAAACATCTGCCTACTAGAGGTAATGTGAATATTTAACATTGTGAATCCATAAATATTTAACTACTTTCAAATATTTAGCTACTAAAATTGCCTCTCTAAAAAAATGAGATTTTCTGAATACAGGGCCATTTTTCTCAAGGCACAGTGTAGTCTAAGCAATTCATTAAAAAAATCATTTTTGACAACTTACCATCGATTACAGAATGCAGCCCGGCGCGTGGTAGGATCCCATCTGATACACTGATCAGACAGAGTGTAATAAAAGCCCTGATCTGGCTATCTCTCATCACACACAGGATGTCGGAAAACCGCTCCTGGTTTCTTGACATTTATAGATCATATCTTTCCCTTGCTTTCCCTAGGGCATCTTGTGAGACTCTCCTCTGAGCAAAATTGTGCCACAATATAGAAAATATATGCACTGAGGAAATGGTTAACAACAACAAACCAAATAACAGCCAGCAGTGGGAGTTGGATTTGTGAAGGGGGAGGTGGGGAAGGCAAATCTCCAGGACCTTTGGCTGCAGACACATCCCGAGGCAAATTAATGCGTGGAAATGGAGGATGTGGAACTTAATTCTCCAGAACCATCCGTGTCCTGTGTCCTTAGGAAAGTCTCTGCATAACCCCAGGGCCCCAGTTCTTCAGTCTGAACATGGTTGCTCTTCACACATCCTTTATCTCTCCAATTCTTATCTGCGTCTGATGCACTTTTTTCTCTCTCAACACTTTCTCTACCTTCAAATTTCAGAGAAGACAGCGCCAAGCAAAAAAAAAGGGGCCTCGGTAGGCCTCCACCTACCGGTCCTTATCAATTCCATCACCATTGCCGAAGCCTTTACCACCTCCACTTCCGTTCCCATCACAGCCTCCTTGATTTCCAAACTACGGTTGTCAACTTGAAGCGCTTCCTGCTCTATTACTTGATAAATGATTAAATGATTATCCAACATGGACTTCGGTTCCGTCTGCTACCTTAGAGAGGCCCAGGGAGTTAATGCCCTTTGACGACGTGGAAGAGACATATGTGTGTAAGTGTATTGGTGAAGGGGCGTTTATGACATCAGCAGTATTGTTACTGGAAAGGGATCCCAATCCAGACCCCAAGATAGGGTTCTTGGATCTCACGCAAGAAAGAATTTGAGGCGAGTCCATAGAGGAAAGTGAAAGCAAGTTTATTAAGAAAGTAAAGGAAATAAAGGAATTTTTCTCTTCCCTCCCTCCCTCCCTCCCTCCCTCCCTCCTTCCTTCCTTCCTTCCTTCCTTCCCTCTCTCTCACTCTCTCTCTCTTTCTCTCTCTCTCAACAGGGTCTTCCGCTGCTGCCCAGGCTGAAGTGCACTGGTACGATCACAGCTCACTGTGTCTCTATCTCTGGGGCTCAGGTGATTCTTCCACCTCAGCCCCCCAAGTAGCTGGGACTACAGGTGCACACACCACACTCTAATTTTTGTATTTTTTGTAGACATGGGATTTCACCATGTTGCCCAGGCTGGTCTGGAACTCCTGGGATGAAGTGATCTGCCTGCCTCGGCCTCCCAAAGTGCTGGGATTACAGGCATGAGCCACCATGCCTAGCCCCAACTTTTCTTTAAAGAAGCAGAAATAAAAGTGTAGACAAAGAAAAAATCTAAAATACACTAAACTATTGATAATGTAAATTATCTCTGGAGGGAAGGACTCTGGGGAAGTTTTCTTTTTAAAATACTTGTATGGCCGGGTGCGGTGGCTCACGCCTGTAATTCCACCACTTTGGGAGACTGAGGTGGGCGGACCACCTGAAGTCAGGAGTTCGAGACCCGCCTAACCAACATGGAGAAACCCCATCTCTACTAACAATGCAACATTAGCCAGGCGTGGTGGCACATGCCTGTAATCCTAGCTACTCGGGAGGCCGAGGCAGGAGAATCGCTTGAACCCGAGAGGCGGAGGTTGCAGTGAGCTGAGATCACGCCATTGTACTCCAGCCTGGGCAACAAGAGAGAAACTCCATCTAAAAATAAATAAATAAATGAATAAAATACTTGTATCATATTTGATTTTTTTGTTAACATAAAAGGCAAAAAGTCTTCCTGAAAGCACCTGCCCTGGTTACCTCCCTCAGCTCCTTAGCACACTGTACGTTTTTAGGTCCTTGTTTCAACCTCGGTTGTTTCACATATTAGTCTTCTCTCCTGAACTGTAAACTCCTTGCACCCAGGGTTTGTGTGACTTATTTTTGTATAAGGCTGACCACATTAAATTGCCAATATCTGACCTTTTTCTTCCTACAAAAACAGCAGTTCAACCGAGCCTAGCCTGCTGTCTCCTCAGCACTCAGCACCTAGCCAGGCTCTTGACTGAACTGACTTGAATAGATTTTACATTGGTATTTGTTGTTTAGAAACAGGCTGGTTTTCTGTCTCGCGTGAACATCCTTAAATTTATTCACAGTGTTAATACAATTTGCAGGATAATTTATACTTGCATTTTGTAAATATAGTTCAGGTGTGTGTATAATGGGACGATTATTGATGTGTTTGTGCAGGGAGAAAGAGATTGAAAATGGAGCTTCAAGATGAATTCTAGAAGCAGCACCGCCTCTGACTGTGAGGAAAAATAGGCAAACCTTTAATTCTTTCTGGTTCTTGATTTCTTTTTAAGACTTGTCAGCTAAAGAAAGTGAGGAGGCTTGAACCAAGGCCAATGTAATTTTTTCTACCCGAAGGAAGCCTTCAAGCTGCCTGGCTCTGAGAGAGAACGCTGACGGTGGGGTTGGATGAGGCTGACTGTTCATCAGCATACGACTTCTTTAAGGACAGCCCATTTGTCTGGAGGAATGATCCACATTTCATGGGTAAGGATTTGTCCTTTCTTTTCTTCATTACAAACAGGTATGATATTAGACTTTAGTGATTGATCTCTGGCCTCAAATTTTCCCCAGGCTCAGACAGGAGTTCTCTTTTTGAACATAAGAGGTCGGTTTGCTTTTGGAGAAAAAAAAATTAAATATGCAAACTTGGGAACCTAGACAAGAACCCTCCTTTTAAAAGAAATCTTTCTTTCTCTCTTCTCTCCTCTCTCTCTCTCTCTCTCTCTCTCTCTCTCTCTGTGTGTGTGTGTGTGTGTGTGTGTGTGTGTGTGTGATTTCAACTTTTATTTTAGATTCAGGAGTACATAAGCAGGTTTGTTACATGGGTTTATTGTGTGATGCTGAGGTTTGGGGTGTGATTGAATCCATCATGCAGGTAGTGAGCATAGCACTCAATAGGTAGTTTTTCAATCCTTGCCTCCTCCTTCCCTCCTCCTTCTTATTGTCCTCGGTGTCTACTGTTCCCATCTTTATGTCCATGCGTACCAAATGTTTAGCTCCCATTTATAAGTGAGAATATGCAAAATTCGGTTTTCTGTTTCTGTGCTAATTTGCTTAGGATAATGGCCTCTAGCTGCATCCATGTTGCTGCAAAGGATATGATTTAGTTCTTTTTTATGGCTGTATAGTATTCCATGTTATATATGTACTACATTTTCTTTATCCAATCCACCATTGATGGGCACCTCAGTTGATTCCCTGTCTTTGTGACTGTGAATAGCGCTATGATGAGTATACGAGTATATGTAGGTTTTTTGGGAAGAATGATTTATTTTCCTTTGGATATGTACCCAGTAATGGGGTTGCTGGGTCGAATGGTTGTTCTATTTTTAGTTCTTTGAGAAATCTCCAAACTGCTTTCCACATTGGCTGAACTAATTTACATTTCCACCAACAGTGTAAAAGGGTTCCCATTTTTCCCCAACCTTGCCGACATCTGTTATTTTTTTGACTTTTTAATAATAGCCAAGGAATGTGTGCATTTGAAGAAGAGATTGCCACTTCTTACAGATGGTGCATTCTCCTTTGAGAGAAAAGCCTGAGACACACACTCATGGATCCAAGGCACTAGAGGGGCGGGAGAAGAGGGCAGGTCCCTGATCTCTTCCTCCTGCCATGCGTGGACAGCCTGTCTCTGTGCCAGCCCTGGCAGGAGGCCAGCCTTGCCCAGCACATGCCAGGTAGGGTCAAGGCTGAGAAATAGAATGGTAGTTGAGCTTGGAAGTTGCATCGTAAGTTTTTTTAAGTAACTTAAAATCAGAGTTCATTAGAACATTAGAACCAGAGGGATCTCACAGATTGTGTTGTTTCCTAAGGTTCTGTAGGATATTTTTAGGTGTTGAGAAATAAGGGAGGAGGCGTTCTAGGGTCATGGCAGTTTGGGAAAAGCTGATGGAGCAGATGCTGTTGGTGCTCTGCTGTATCCCTCTAGTCTTACTGCTTCAGTGCAAGAGGCTGATGTCCAGCACTCGAGTCTGAATCTTTTTGTCTAGGGTCCTTTCTGAAGCCATGGAGGGTTGTTCTGCCTTCAAATAATGGGCCAAGAGTGCCAGGAGCTTGACACTCACCACAAGCCGTCCTCAGCCTATGACTGGCAGGTGGGGGTATATAAACACCTCAGCTCCCCCACCCCTCAGGTGTGATCACTGAACTATGTCCTACTCTGGCTTCTAGAATTTCCCCAGTGGGATTGTGAGCTGGCTGTCCCAAGGGCAGCTAACTTGATTACGTATCCTTTAAGACTGACTTTCCTGGCCGGCGCGGTGGCTCAAGCCTGTAATCCCAGCACTTTGGGAGGCCGAGACGGGCGGATCACGAAGTCAGGAGATCAAGACCATCCGGGATAACACGGTGAAACCCCGTCTCTACTAAAAATACAAAAAATTAGCCGGGCGTGGTGGCGGGCGCTTGTAGTCCCAGCTACTCGGGAGGCTGAGGCAGGAGAATGGCGTAAACCCGGGAGGCGGAGCTTGCAGTGAGCTGAGATCCGGCCACTGCACTCCAGCCTGGGTGACAGAGCGAGACTCCTCTCAAAAAAAAAAAAAAAAAAAAAAAAAAAAAAAAGACTGACTTTCCTTCTTGATTTCCTTACCGTTTTCCCTCCATTTCCCAAATAAACTTTTTGTACTCAAATCCTTGGCTCAGTGTCTGCTTCGGGAGCCCAAAGTAAGATCGTGGGTGAAGAAAAATGAACAGATTTCTTTACCACAGAACTTTGCAGCTCTTTTAACATGCTAATGTGTTTTGTGAATATCCAAAAGAGGGATTAAGTCTGCAGCATGTCCCAAATATTTGACTACAAAACCATATTTTTTCCCCGCAGATATCTCTTGACACCAGTATTCCAAGCAAAATATTTTGGGAGACATTCTCTTTATTTTGCTGATGAAAATGTTGTCGATCTCTACATTTTACTGACCAGAGGACTAGTCCCAGGAAAGTCAAAGACTCCTCTCAAGTGTCACAGCCAGGAATGACAGAATTACGGTTAGAATCGTGGTTTCCTGATACCTGGTCCTCTTATCTCTTCACTACACCATTTTGCATCTGCACATGGTCAGCCCAGGGTCAGAGTTCTGAAAACAAAAAACACAGAATTGGGAGTTAGGTCCCAGGGGTTCTGTCTGGTCTCCATTGCCAGCCAGCTATGCCTCTCTGCTCAGCTGTTTATAATAATCCTTTGTCTCCCCCTCTTCATATATTACCAGAGAGTTAAGTTAGCCTTTTTTCTTGTGGTAATATATGCATAATATAAAATTTACCAGCTGGGCATGGTAGCTCATGCCTATAATCCCAGCAGTTTGGGAGGCCAAGGTGAGCGGATCACCTGAGGTCAGGAGTTCAAGACTAGCTTGGCCAACATAGGGAAACCCCATCTCTACTAAAAATACAAAAATTAGCAGGGCATGGTGGTATGCTCCTGTAATCCCAGCTACTTTGGAGGCTGAGGCAGGAGAATCACTTGAACCTGGGAGGTGGAGTTTGCAGTGAGCCGAGATTATACCACTGAACTCCAGACTGCCTGGGTGACAGAATGAGACTTCATCTCAAAACGATAAAAATAAAAATAAATAAAAGTTACCATTTATACCACTTTTAGGTGTACAGTTCAGTGGCATTAATTATATTCACACTGTTGTGCTACCATCACTACCATCTATCTTCAGAACTTGTTTATCTTCCCAGACTGAAACTTCATACCTATCAAACAGTAACTCCTCACTCTCCTTTCTCCCTAGTTCCTGGCAACCACCCTTCTACTTTCTGTCTGTATGAATCTGACTATGCAAGGTACCTCAGTGTATTAGTCTGTTTTCTCATTGCTATACAAAAAAATACCTGAGACTGGGTAATTTATCAAGAAAAAAGGTTTAATTGGCCCATGGTTCTGCAGGCTGTACAGGAAGCATGGCAGCATCTGCTTGCCTTCTAGGAAGGCTTCAGGAAACTTACAGTCATGGTAGAAGGGGAAACAGGAACAGGCACTTCACACGGCCAGAGCAGGAAGAAGAGAGATTGAGGTGGAAGGTGCCACACACTTTTAAACAACCAGATCTCACAAGAACTCACTACCACAAGAAAAGCACCAAGAGGATGGTGCTAAACTGCTCATGAGAAAACCACCCCTATGATCCAATCACCTCCCACCAGGTCCCACCTTCAACACCGGGGATTACAATTCAATAGGAGATTTGGTGGGGACACAGATCCAAACCATATCACTCACAGAAGTAGAATCATACAACAATATCTGTCCTTGGTGTCTGGCTTGTTTCACTTAGTATAATGTTTTCAAGGTTCATTCATGTTGTAAAACGTGTCAGAATTTTCCTTAAGGCTGAATACTATTCCATTGTATGTGTATACCACATTTTGTGTATCCATTCATCCTTCAATGAACATTTGGGTGGTTTCTACCTTCTGGCTACCATGAAATAATGCTGCCAGGAACACTGGTGTATAAATATCTATTCTGGTACCTGCTTTCAGTTTTGTGTGTATATGAAGAAGTGGGATTGCTGTGTATATACACAACCATATGATGGGTCTATGTTTACTTTTTTTGAGGAATGCCATACTTGTTTCCATAATGGCTGTACCATTTTACATTCCTATCAGCAGTGCACAAAGGTTCCAATTTTTCCTCATCCTCACCAACACTTGCTATTTTCTGTTTTGTTTTGTTGTTGTTTTTATATAATAGCCCTCCAAGTGGGTGTGAAGTGGTATCTCATTATGGTTTTGATTCACATATCTCTAATAATTAGTGAAGTTTGGGCCGGGTATGGTGGCTCACGCCTGTAATCCCAGCACTTTGGGAGGCCGAGGCGGGCGGATCACCTGAGGTCGGGAGTTTGAGACTGACCTGACCAACATGGAGAAACCTGTCTCCACTAAAAATACAAAATTAGGCGAGCATGGTGGGGCATGTCTGTAATCCCAGCTACTCGGGAGGCCGAGGCAGGAGAATCGCTTGAACCTGGGAGGTGGAGATGGCAGTAAGTCAAGATTGTGCCATTGCACTCCAGCCTGGGCAACAAGAGGGAAACTCTGTCTCAAACAAACAAAAAATTAGTGAAGTTTGAACATCTTTTTGCATGTTTATTGGTTATCTGTATATCTTCTTTGGAGAATTGTCTATTCAAGTCCTTTGCTCATTTTTAAATTGGGCTTTTTTTGTTGGGTTGTAGGGGTTATTTTTTAATATGCTTTGGATGTTAATCTCTGTTAACTGACTTTTTAAAACCTTTTTTTTTTTTTTTTTTTGAGACAGAGTCTCGCACTGTCGTCCACGCTGGGGTGTAGTGGCATGATCTCAGCTCACTGCAACCTCTGCATCCTGGGTTCAAGTGATTCTCCTGCCTCAGCCTCCCAAATGGCTGGGACTATAGGTGCACACCACCCCGCCCAGCTCATTTTTGTATTTTTGATAGAGATGGAATTTCAGTGTTGGCCAGGATGGTCTCGATATCTTGACCTCGTGA